ATTTGTAGGCTTTCTATGCATTAGTGCCTAGTGGCCCCCTAGTCGTTTCGCATAGCAGACTATTTCGCTAGTTGCTAGACAGTATAGTAAGTTTCGTCCTAAGTTAAAATGGATATCGTTATTAGTAGCTCTTAATAGTACTATATAGGATAGCTTCAATTTTGACTTCCCAGTAGGTATATTAATAGTAATGGTTACTATTCCGTAGGCTTAAATCTTTTGAAATTTCCGCTAGTAATTAGGTAGTCGTCTTCTACCGCTAGGTAGGAAAAGGTAAAGTCTTCTTCGTTGTTGTAGACGTGCGTATCTGCGCCAGGGTTGAGTATCTAGGTGTTCTGGAGTTCGAATGGAGTTTAACCAGTACTAAACACGGCAGTATGGCAGGTTGGGGTTATAGAAGCTAGGTTTTTAGAATTAAAATTAATTCTATATTCTATATTCTTCTAATTATTTTTTGCTTTCTATTTTTCTTTTTAAATCTAATTAACCATACGTTTAACCCAAGGTAGAGATAAGATCTTTTCTTCTATCTTCTTCTAGACGTCTAGCCTTGGTTTCCATCCTTAAGGGCGCTTCTACTTAGCAATGTAGTAGCAGTTGCTGTATCGATGCTTAAGGCCGCATATGCATTTCTTATGCCATTTTTAATCGGAATTAGAATTGCTGTTGGAATTGTTTTAAAGCGTTGCAAAGGCAGAGTTATTGGCAGTAGTAGTAGAGGATACTTGCTACATGCGGTAGTGCTCCTTAAATTCCCCAATTAGATCAATAATGGATGGGGCAGCTTTATCCTTCCATTCTTTACGAATAAGATCTACTTCTAGGGCTCCTGCGAAGCTAGAAGAGGTAGGCTTAATTACTTAAACAAAATCGTAGTGTGGCCTAAATCCTTGTATATCCGGTAGCTCTAATTACTCCGCAAGCTTATAGACGTTCCACTAGCCGTTTAACCATTTATCGATGCTCTGCTTTTTATTGTAGGCTTTTAGGGCTGTGTATTAATTAAGGACGTCATGCTTTCGACCTAAGGTGGTAGGGGCTAGTGCAGTCTTCAATGCCTAAAGCCGTTTGTGTACCATGTTGAGGCCGTCGATAAGTGGAAGGTAGGCTACCGATATAGTGCGAACGATGTAGTTGCTGATATCGTTTATAGCCTGTTTTCGCTTCTCGTGTATGCGGAGATTGTCTTTGTATTCGGCGTAGAGTTGATTATAGGTAGTGAGCTTAATTTGGTCCAGTTAAGCTATCGATGTAGCATTAGGAAGTACGTCCGCTGGTATAGGCAGGCTTGCCAATCATTCAACGAGGCTTCAATATTGAATTGAATTGAATGCCAAGACTCAATCAATTCAATCAACTGAGAGCTCGCGGGCTTGGCAACGCATTCAATCTGGAGGTCCTAATTGAATTGAGTTGATTGAAAATATTGAAGCTTTTAATATTATATAGAAATATACTAAAGCTCATGTGAAGTGATGCTGTCGACCTGAATCGGATTTTGCCACCTTGACTCGGTCACCGACTCAGTCAACCACGTGTATATATAGCCTCATTTTCTTCATAGATCAATCTTCACACGAGTTTTACTTTCCTGACATTTGCGCACGGACCTACAATTGACAGATGCCCTAAACCTTATTTTTCTTAGTTTTCCTCACCAAATTTTTTTTATCCGAGTATCACCCGTTATTTACACCGTCATATCGCCGCCAAAGTCTGGGCAGGCAGGGTTTTGCTACCAATATCAACTCGAATTAATGACGATCCCACCAATATCGTTAGACCCCGAACGTATATTTAGCCCCAAAGGCTTGATATAATTGAGGCTTCAATGGTGGTAGGATCGTGGGACAAGGAAGGCATAGTTGATATAGTAGATGAGCAGTTAAAGCGCCCGCAGGACGGAACCAGATATACACGGCAGGAAGGTAACTCAACACCATGCCAAGACTCGTGATAGTTACTAACTACTACGCCAGTTGAATTTAGTTGCAACCGTTGCAATATTGATTCAATCAATTCAATCAATTGAACCCTCTGCTGACAAAGCTTTCAATTCAACCAACTCGAGGCGTCATTGAATTGAATTGAATGATTGGCAAGCCTGGGTATAGGTCGATTCGGTGGTTCCAGCTTTGGAAGCTCGTCTTTCTTCTTGGATGGGTCGATATACTGCCATACCTCGTTGGTTTTGGCAGTGTCTTGAATAATAAAGAACCATTGAATCCAATTAGATGGCTTGTCGAGGATGAGGTTAATTTTTAATTCGGTAGAGGTCATCATTTTTAGAATTTAACAGGTCAGGTCAGGGTCCAGTTAGCGTCTTGGCGAAACCTTATTTTGACGTTTCGAACTTTTGATTTGATTCGTCAGTTCGTTCGTCGGTCGGGTACGTCCGTCGACTGGGGTCGATCGTCCGTTCGTTTGATAGGTGAAGAAGCTCGAGACTCTTGCAAAGGTGGTAGAAGTAGTGACTTCTTGAATGAGGTAGTAGGTTGATTGCTCAGCAGGTAGTGCGATCCGGGCTCATAACCGTAAGCTTTGCAGTGTAGGTATTGAACGAGCGACTGGATTGTGAATGTAGCTCTCTCTATATATACACGAGGTAGGGGGCAATAAGATGACGACGATGATCCGCAATAGCCACTGTAGACAGCGCCACTCAGTCGGTGATAGGTAATAGAAATAGGTAATGGAAATAAGTAGTGAGACATGCGATGGCAAGAAGTAGGGTGGTGAGTCATAAGGTAGCGCAAGCTTTGGTACCGGTAGTCGGTTACAGTACTCCCTAAGGCTTATACTAGCTCTAAGACTAAAAGAATACGGCAAGAGCGTGGAGGACCTCCTTTATAAGAACTTATTAAGGTTAATATATTATAAACACCTTATATAAAACTTATTAAGGCCCTAAAACTACTATAAAGGACTTATTAAAGCCCCTCTATAAGGGCCTATCCGGTATATTTAGGTAACTTAGAAAAGGGTCCTAATAGACATAGTACCCGCGACCTAAATAACAGCAATAGCGATATAATAGCGACTAAATGGCTTAATAAGGTAGGTTACTATAGATAGCAATATGGGTAAAACTCTATGCAGCGGAAATATACACTAGCTTTAATAGCCCTATAGTGTTAAAGGCGACTTATAAAAGGGTCTTAATAGATATAATATATGTAACTTAATATATATAGTGGAGGCTTTAAAGGAAATATAAGCTAGTTAGATAAGGACTTAATAGTTAAAGATATAGGCTAGCTTATAAAAAGGAGGGATATAAGCTTAGTTAGTAGAATAGAGTAGAATAAGTCGCCTAGTGGGATTTAGTCTATAACCTATTCTTTAAAATACAGTCGGCCTATTATAAGGAGAATTTTATAAGTAACGCGAAACGGGAACTAGTAGTATATAAGGTATTACGCCTCTATATTACTACTAACCCCCTATAAAGCGTAGTACATAGTAGCTACCACCAGCTTTAAAGATTTTACTTTTTAATTATATTCTAACCCCTAATATACCTAGTAGGTAAATAGGATTATATTTTAGCTAGAGAGATTACTATATAGCTTAAGAGAATAGATATGCGTATTAGTATATTAATAGATGGAACCGTTTACTAGGATAGTATACTAGTAAAATATACTTAAGAAGCAAATAGAAGTTACTTAGATAAGAAAGTTTTTAGCTAGGCCTTAACTATAGAAAGTATATAAGGTAATTAAAAGATCTAATAAAGCTACTAAAAACTAGAGTAGAGGCTTAGGTAAGTAGGTATATTAAACTCTACTATATTATTAGTACTATTAGCTAATATATAACTACCTACTTAAAGCTAAATAGACTACCTGTTATAATTCTATATAAAGCCTATCCTATTATAAAAACCCTTCTATATAAAATCTATAGAGTTTTGCTTACCTTAGGCTATTAACTAAAGGTTTAAAGAGAAGCTTAGGGAATTATCCTCCCTAAAGTAAATAAGAAAGACTATTCCTTACAAAGTCCTATAGAATTATCTCCTTATTAAATTACTTAAGTAGTTTAGTCCTAGGCAGGAAATATTAGTAATCCACTTAAATACGATATAATTTACTATCTAACTATTATCCGAAGTTATATATATCTAATTAAGTACCTTATCCTAGTAAAACTATATTAATTAGGGGTACTTTCCTTTAAAGGTTAGGAGATGTCGAATTAACTAAGGGTAGAGACTGCCTCTACAATTAATACCTATTTTTAATTATTTGACGACTATATAAGAGTCTTCTTTTTAGAGGCGTCTCCTATAGCAATCGAGTTTATATATACCCCTAATACGATACTAGAATTTGTCTATATTTTAGCTATTTTCTACTTATATATTAGCCTTCCTTTATACCCTCTTATAAAGGTTATAGAGGTCTTAAATTTATACACTTTCTATTAATTGGGTGAGTAAGGATCTAATACAAGGATTCCGTTTAAAGTAGCTGGCTACTTATACGTTACTAAGGGGCTCGGTATCGCTGTTTTAATTAAAGATTCGGGCCGCCATTTCTTATAGTCGCATATGCAAGGGAGTAAATCCTTATAAGTCCTGTTCGAGTACCCAATTGGTAAGGAAGGCCCCCTGTATAGGAGTTAATCACTACTCGTGTCGGTGTACAAATGTTCGCGACAGCTTGCCGTTCAATCGATCGTTAAAAGTTAACGAAGAGACACCGTACGCGCGCGCAGCTTCACTGCCGAACTTAAATTTGCCAGATTTAAAATCAGTAATAGCTAATTGCAAGTTCTGCTCCTTTTGGTCTATATTGGTTGCGTAGAAATTAAGGTAACAAGTTAGTGGTTATTTTGATTTAATGTCCGGGTTTAGAAAGTCCGAGTTCTAGGGGTCCGAGCTTACGTATTTTAATATATATATATATATCGGTTAACGTTTATATAAAACGCTATTACTAAATGCTCAAATTCCATTTAAATTCCATTTTAAATAACTATAATTTAAAAAAAACCGGTAGAGCTGGGATTTGAACCCAGGAGCCCGAAGGCATATGATATCGTGCGAAAATTCGAGTCATACCCATTAACCACTCTGGCACTCTACCACTCTGTCCTATTACTCTACCCCTTTAATCAAATTCTTAAATATTAAACTTATTTATCAAGTTTACTTACTTCACTTGCTTTACTTACTTAAGGTCCGCACTAGTTAACTAGTCTAACTACTAAAAGTAGGCAATATCCCGTATCGTGGGGCGCGTTATACGGAATAAAAAATATATATTAAGTCGCTACCTAATAGGTATAAAGGAAGAGGCGATATACTTAGTAATGATTAGGGTATGTAAGGTGTAACCGACTACCGACACTGTGCTGAGACACAAGATCACCGCTTGGAAGGCTCTAAGACAGCGTCAACGCCACCCTATCCCTTATCCCGTCAAAATTGGTCCTTACGGTATCGATAAGAGCCCACCAATCAAACCGGTCGAATCAAGCCGCCGTTCTCAGAAATACAAAGCCTTTGACTTTGTTGAGAACAATGTTCCGCACAGACCACTTACACTAAGGACCTTGACGGGTTAAGGGATATATTGATTGCAGATTAATATTACTTGCAGATCACTATTCCCATTTTAGTTACCTATTACCCATCATGTCTTATTACCTCTACATTCTTCGTGTATATATAGAGGCTTTAGAGCTACATTTATAATTAAGTCGTTTATTTAATTCTTCGCACTATAAAGCTTACAGTTATGAGCCTAGCCTGCCTACCGTACTGCATCTAATCTATACATTCAGCGCTTACTAAGCAATCAATCTACTACCTTATTTAAGAAGTCACTACTTCTACTACCTTTGCGGTGTCTTGAGCTTCTTTACCTATCAAACGAACGGACGATCGACCCCAGTTAACGTACGTACCCGACCGACGAGCGAATTAACGAATCAAAAAACGTCAAAATAAGGTTTTCGCCAAGACGCCAATTGGACCCTGCCTGACCTGTCAAAATCCTAAAAATAACGACCACGAACGAATTAAAAGTCAACCTCATCCTCAACCAGCCTTCTGATTAGACACAGTGGTTCTTTATTATCTAAAACGCAGCCAAAACGAACAAGGTATGGCAATATATCAACCCATTAAAAAAGGAAAAAGATCTTCCAACGCTAGAACTACCAAGTCGACCTATACCAAGAGACGTACTACCGACGGCTACATTAATAGCGAAGCTAGAACCAAACCAGCTCATTGCCTATAACTAGCTCTATTCTAAATATAAGGACAATCTTCAAATATACTAGAAGCAAGAAGCAAGAACAGGCTATTAACAACATCAGTAACTACATTGTGCGAATAACATCGGTAGCCTACCTCCCTCTTATTAACGGCCTAGATACAGTACACGGACGGCTATAAGCGCTTAAGAAAGCTCTAGCTCCTACTATATTAGGTCAAAAGCACGACGTCCTCGTTTAATATACGACCTTAAAAGCCTACAACAAAAAATAGAGTATTGAGAAATAGTTAAACAGCTGGCGGAACGTCTATAAGCTTGCTAAGCAATTAGACCTGCCAGACGTGTAAGGCTTTAGGCCCCACTACGACTTTATTCAAGCAATTAAGCCCATCTCTTCTAGCTTTGTAGGAGCTCTAGAAGTAGACCTTATCCGTAAGGAACGTAAGGATAAAGCTGCACCGTCTATTATTAATCTCATCGAGGAATTTAAGGAGCACTACCGCATGCAGCAAGTAGTATCCTCTGCTACTACTGCTAATAGCTCTGCATTTGCAATCCTATAAGGCAACTTAAATACCAGTTCAGACGCGAATTCTAACGGCAATTCCAATTCTAAATGGAATAAGATATGCGTATGCGGCCTTAAGTATCGATTTGGCGACTGCTTCTATATTATTAAGCGGAAGCGCCCTTAAGGATGGAAGCCAAACCTAGACGTTCAGAAGGAAGTAGATGAAAAGATCTTATCTACACCTTGGATTAAACGTATTGTTAACCTTATCTTAAAAAGAGAATAGGAAGTAAAGAAGAATATAGATTTTACAATAGATTTTAATTCTAAAACCCCACCGTCTAAGACCCCAACTAGCTATGCTGCTGTGTTCAGTACTGGTTAAAAACTATTTAAACTCCAGAACACCTAGATACTTAACCCTAGTATAGATACCCACGTCTACAATAACCAAGAAGACTTTACCTTCTCCTACCTAATTGCTGGCGGAAATTTTGAAAAAATATAAGCCTACGGAATAGTAATAATTACTATTAATACACCTACTGGGAGCTTAAAAATGAAGCTATCCTATATAGTATTGGTACCTACTATATTTACAAATATCGTAGCACTATTAAGAGCTACTAATAACGATATCCATTTTGACTTAGGATGAAACTTGCTATACCGTCTAGTAACTAGTAAAATAGTATACTACGCAAAACAACTAAAGGGCCACTGGGCGCTAATGCACAGAGAGCCTATAAATACCCTAGATTTAATAACTTAATTAACCTTCTTAATAAGAAGACATTAACTAAGCAGAATGGCCAGTAAAATAGTCGGAGCTATAGCTATAAAATGGCATAAAATTCTAGGCTATATAGGACCTAACGCTATTGAGCAGCTTCTTAAGTACGTTAATGGCGTAGAGCTTAAAGAGCTAATTAACGAACGAGCACCGCTTAAAATTGAATATAAAGTCTACTTATTAGCAAAGCATATATAGCAGATCTCTTAAAGACGAGAACACGAATTCCTAGCCACTTAACCATTTAAGCGAGTAGTATTTAATATTATTACCCTTGGAGAACTAGGGTATAACGGCGATAGATACGTAATACATTTCTATTGCACGTATTCTAAATTTAACTTTATATATACCGCCAAGAATAAGGATAAAGCTACTATCCTACCTACTATTTATAAGACTTACCAGCTAATTAAAATATGATTCTACTAAGACGTTGTCTTCTTCTAGAGTAATAACGAACGTGTATTTAGATAAACCGAAGATACACTATAGACGTGGTGCGTAGACAAAGGCATTACTTTTAAATGCCGAGCCCCGTATATAGAAGAATAAAATAGCGGAGCTAAATAATCCGGATAAACCTTTATGGAACGGTTAAGGGCTATACAGCTAGAAGCTTCCTTACCCCCGTCTCTAGGACTAGAGGCGTTTTTTGCTGCTAGATACGCCCTTAATTAAACACCGAATAAACAGCTAGGGTAGAGAACTCCCTACGAGATCGCCTACGGCAAGCCGCCATTACTTACCTATATGCACGTATACGGCTGTAAAACCTATACACTAGACAAATAAATTAAAAGGGGAGATAAACTAGCTCCTTATGCATTAATTAGATACCTAGTTAGCTACGATTTAACTAATATCTATTAAATCTAGATTCCAAGTCTCCGCAAGGTTATTTAAACTAAAGACGTCACATTTAACAAGACCTCGTTCTATAACCCTAAGGGTTAAGATATTAACTACCTGCTAAGGGAAGCATTAGAAGACACCCTCTAGATAATTAGTTTACTAAAACCTCTCTATAAGGATAAATCTGAGGATAAATCTCTCCTATATAGACCTACTTTAAATGCAGATTAAACGACTATACCTAAATCGAATGATTTGGCAGAGCCTCCTGCAAAGGATATTAAACAGTTACCGACTTTTAGCAGAACGGTATCTCTAGATTTACTAGAACCGAACACCTTACTATAAGGACTTTAAGACGATATCCTAGATATAATTAAAGCAACTCCTACCTAGCTAAGTTTGCTAGAACTATCTAATATAGCTCTATAAGCTAATAAAGTCTTAGCCAAACCTTCTGCCAACTTTATCCTACTAGAAGGATCTAAACGAATTTAACGTTAAGCGTATACGACAGCACTAGCCAATCTATCTACCCTATTTAGTTACTACGCTGGATTTGCTACAGGACTAGTAAAGGACGTCAGCCGAACTAGATCCTTATCCTTATCTCTATATTATAACAATCTTCCTCCTAAACCAAAGAATTTTAAAGAACTAAGAAAGTATCTGTTAACTACTAGCTTTTAAAAAGCTATAGAAAAAGAATATAACGACCTAAAATGTTAAGGGACATTTAAGACTGTACTAAAAGTAGAAGTAGGTAATGAGCAGATCCTTTTACTAAAATAGGTCTTTAAATATAAGCTTAACAGCGATGGTTACCTATAAAAGCTTAAAGCTAGACTATGCGTCCGCGGAGACTTGCAGATTACCGAAGAAGAGACCTATGCAGTAACCCTAGTGTCACAGTACGTGCGGACTGTCAAGGTACAAGGTACGAGGTGACTGTATATCATTGACAAACGATGTCGTGTGAGGATCTATGTAGGAGGTGAGGTAGTATATATACACGTCGCTTAGGGGTCAGGTCCGTGCTCGTGTTATAACAACACTGAATCATAACAACATGTTAGGTCAGTGCCGTAACAGTACATCCCTCCCAACAAGGCGAGCTCCTGTGAGCCAAGTAACGGCAGTAAAAACATGGAAGTAAAAAAATAAACCACATATCCTCATCCTTTTAGTCCTCAAAGGTTCTCGTCCTTCCAGTCCTTAAATGTCCTCGTCCTTACAGTCCTTAGACCCTTCTACCTATATCCCTACTACATCGCTCTCCGCTAGTGCTCGTCTTAAGCACTAAATAAAGCCGAAGGCGAAAGGGTAAAACGGGGGAGACGAAAAAAAATGTAACCGCGGGGCGTATTGCGGATATTGACTCTCGAAAGGCTCGAAGTTGCGGAGATCGAGGTTAAGTCGTAGACTTGAAAGGCTCGGGGGTTACGGAGATTGAGGTTATTGCGTAGACTCGAAAGGCTTGGGGTGCGGAGATCAAGGTATAGATTCAACAGGCTCGGAGTACGGAGATCGAGGTTAAGACGTAGATTCTTGTCGTGGTAAACTTAAAGTATATTGTTGTCGAAGACGAAGACGGAGACGGAGACGAGATCGTAATCTATAGTCTTACACTGTAATTAAGACACGAGGACATAGCCCGTAGGGTGTCTCCCTGCAGCCGGCTTTAGAAACTTAGGACGTAAA